AAAACAAGTAATTTCATAGCAATAATACTGCACTCGTGTTCTCATTAAGTTTCTCCAATATTTATGTCTAAATTAATTGAATGCACTGTGAACTAATGACATACTAGAGGAATCAGTATTCATACATAACAAATGAGAATCCACATAGTAGTGAAAGATCAGAAAAAACATACAAGTGGGCACTTGTGGGAGGAAACACCTCCTTACAGAAAACTTACAAAACAAGATACTAACCGAAAATGAATGGGTATCTTATAGTTACCTTGTGTTTTTCTATCACCTGCCTTGAGTGACTACAGGTGTGCAGAGGGACAAACAGGTACTCGTTAACAGTAGCCACAGTGTAGGCCAAGAGGCCAGCCAGTGTCTGCAACTGCTGGTTGTCAGTGGGTGTGAACAGGAGGATGTTACCTACAGAGGTGGCACAAGCAGTTGAAACTTCTGCAGAAGCACGTGGAAGGCAAGCTAAGCTGCTGTTCCACATGCTTCACTGAAACGGAGTCTGAATTATATGGAAAATGTTACTGGGGCTGTCTGGTTTATACTGTATTTTTTGGGAGGCTCTGTTGAGTCACTACATTATATACACTATCAAATTAAAATTCAATTACAATTATTTCCTCTTTATTGTACATATTTTAGAATTTTTACCAGTTTTCTTCTGTTGCATTTTCCAGGTGGTCTCTGACATTGCTAGCAAGAAGTACAAACACTCTGAGCTAGACAGCTGCAAGAGATAGAAGGCTAGGAATCACTTGAATGTTAGAAAAATAACTAGTAGTAAAAACATCTGCTTTTGTATTGGAGTTTTAAATAAATGTTTCTTTTATTTTATGGCCTTATAGCATAACAGCTACTTAAATTCAGTAATTGCAACACAAAATCTTTAAATATGAGCAAAATTTTATGTAACATTGAAATGGAACAAAAAATTCATACCATTAAAATTAGGGCACATCTTAATTTCTTCTTATTTAATCTTGCCTTCTGTGTTACACTTATATTTAAGAACTGTGTGGCCCTTTTGGTGTTGCTGTCTGGCCTGTGACTTGCTGCCAGCCCGTCAGTGCAGGAGTGATGCCAACCCTGTGGCAGGATTAACGAAGTGTTGACTGACAGAAACAAACAGTAGCAACTCTTTCTGTGAGTTGTCTAAGATTCACTGCATGCAGCTCACACGCACGGGTGAGAAAAACCATACAGGCCCTCCTTTAATGAGAACTTCCATGTGTAACAAACAGTTTAGAACGCTTCACAAACTTGTATTTATGAAGCACATGCTACACATGGCTGTTCTTCATCAGCACTAAGCTGATACGTCGCCATGCTTTAAGCTCAAATACTGGGACAATTATGAGGTTAAATTGAGATTTAGAAGCTAGGCTATTTTTAAAATCTCTTACTCTACTAATGCGTATTCCCATATAATCCTATCTAAAAATTTATTTTGAAGGCTCAGAGTAAGTAGGGAAATGGGGGCTTAATGTAACCAAATCTAGAAAAAGCCTAGATGAGCCACAGGTTTGAGTTGGAGCTGAAAAAAGCAGATTTCATTCACTGCATCTCAGTCAGAAGATGGGAGAGAACTCTTGGAAGATCTCAGAAAGAAAAGCAGTACCTCTGAGGCTCCAAGATAAGATGGTAGGCAGAGCTAGCAAATTCTCCAAGAACAAAAAATAAAATAGATTTTGTATGAGGTGGCAAACTGGATCTGACAGTAGCCTAGAAGATATCTGGCTCATGCTCCATCCTTGCTGTTCTGCTGGCTGAAGTGCTTCGGGGTGAATGAACTAATCTTACTGCTGAACTGTCAGATTCCTCACCAGTATTGACTTCTGAAAGGCCTTCAGAAAGAGCTACTGATGGGAAATGCTAGCTAGGATTGGTATTAAAATGTGATGTTCTCCCCCACAAAAGAATGACATTTGAATTCTTTTAGGACCGCACTGAAAAAGCTTTAAAAGGGTAAACAGAGAAGAGATGGTAATCAAATGAGCTCTGCTGTTAAGTGCTGTGATACTGGGAAACTATTTGTCTGCATGCTGCACGCCTCCACTGCTCTGCCCAGTCAGCAAACATAGCATCACTGAAATGGGGAACCATCATGCAAGCAGGAACCTCCTTACAAGAAGAAAACTGGAAAGGGAGGGAGGTGCCTTACATCAAGCATTATTCTGAAGTGCTACAGGTTTCCTTCCATACTGTTTGGGGAGTAGTGCAATTCTGACAGTGAAAGCTGTACTTTGTAAAGCTCTGCTCAACAGCAGTCTGTGAATTTAATGGAGAAGATGTAACAGATGTTGAAACAAAACAGTTATGTTCAGAGCATAAGTATTTTGAACTCACTGGTTAATTTTTTTTTCTGTTCTTGTCAAAGAAAGCTTACATAGACTGTGACAAGACAGAATTACGTGTGATATACAAACATCCTCTCAAAATTCAGAGCTCAAATCTTCCCTTGAGATACTTGAACACAGCTGCTAATTATCTCATAGACCACATTTCACTGTGGTTTGAAGAACACTTGATGACAAAGGAGAAAGCATTCAGTAACACCATCTAGTCTTTAACTGTGCGAGTGCCTCTCAAAAACAGAAGCCCTGCCTTTGTACGAGGGGAAACCTTAAGCTAACAATTTCAGTGCAGAAGTGAGAAACAACCATTGTAAGGGACATTCCTCCATTAAGAGTCTATAGATGAAATATACATGAAGTTCACCTTTCCTGACAAAATGAAACTAGTCGGGAGGAAAGAGAGCAATTCTCCTTGTTTCATGCAGCAGGAGGTGCACCAAGTATCAGGCTCCCTGGCAAAACCCACTGATCTTAAAGCATTGTTCTGCTTTTGTTCTGAGATAGAATGCCTTAAATGCTCAAATATGACCCACCCTATTCTTCATTTCCATACATTGTACCAAAAGCTTCATCATGCTCCAGATAACGTTTCAGTATTTCAACGTCGAAAATGTGAAGAACTGTGATCTCAGTAAAAGATCAATGTGTGCATTTAACAAATGTATTATTGTTGCAATCAGTCTTAGAAGCAAATGCAGCATTACTGAAGGTGGAAACAATGTTGTTGATATCACTGAACACAGGGAAACCAGAATGAAACATAAATGTCCGCCTTATCCTCTGTGACCTCTCAATTATTCACACGCAGCACAACAGCAATTTCACAGCTTATAGTGAAGAGAAGTGCAGCTCAAACTTCCTGTGGCACGTGTGCTCGTCCCTTTAACTTTCTTATTCTGTAATCACTGAGATAAATTAATTTGCAGTGCATTTTAGTGGCAGTAGGAGTTGAAGCAGAAATACCTTTGCCCACTGTGAGCCTGTGTGTTCCTTGTTCTGCTATTTTCCATCCTGATTGTTTTATCTCTGCCACAGTGCCTAATTACCAGAGGAAAAGTCATTGCATGCAGAAGACAATGTATTGGTTGCTAACCCTGGCGGAGTGGCGTAGGATATACTTTGTATCTAAAGCTGGAGCTTGCTAGAACAAAGAACGGCAAAACACTTGTAACTTCCCATGGATTTAAAAAAATCTCAATAATAATAACAGATAAGATCCCAAAAATGGAGCTTAGATAAGTTTCACTCAAATATTTATAACTGAGTGCAAATATTTTTTCAGATGTAGGAAAGCCTAGCACTGCCCACTGCTGCTCAGACTTCACCTATCTTAACCACAGTAATTAAAAAGAAATGAAAACCTTTCTTGACTGAACTTTTGAAACTGGTTGCCATCCAGAGAGTAGCATCTTGATTCCTGAAACTGGCAAAACATTCACTGATTTCTACGAACATCAATGTTTGATTTGGATTATCTGCCATAATTCTACTTTTCAAATCACACCAAACCCGACTCCATTTGTTGCACATACCATGCTTAATACCAGGCCAGCTAGCTTTTGCTTGTATCTACTCTTTTTTAAACGCATGCAGTCGGGCCACAGTGTGCCCCTGTGCTGTTACATAAAACCCACAGGTGTACTGTCAAAAAAAGGTTCACTGTAGGGTGGCAATGGAAACGTTGGCATAAAGAAACGGCCTCTTTAGCTGGGTTGGTCATATGATTGGTATTTGGCAGAGACTCACAGCATGACTCAGTGACAATCTTTTAACAGTGAAGCTTCTCATATAGTAAACATTCCCAAGCACTGGATTCTATAGTTTTATTTCACTGAAGCAAAATCCTATTATATTAAATTATAATGTGGAAACATTCTCTGTTTTAATTTAATGAATAGAGCTCTAAGTCTTTGCCATCTGTTCCACCCTTTAATTACAAAAGCAAAAAAGAACATTCACAATCTCATCACAGAAAGAAGTGATTTGGATACACAGGTAAGTATCAGACTGAATGCTCACACCTGTTACATGCATACATGCCTGTTTCACTGCTGGTAAAGCTATGCTTAGCTGGTATCGTCCTGGTTTTAAATGCATGCACTGGTAGTTTCAAATGGACAAGTGGTTATTCATTCCTTTACCTGAAAATCTTATGTCCAGCACTGTGGCTTCCATTTTAGAAATAACTGCTTTTCAGGATATGTGAATTTATCTTTGTGCTTGCAAGCCATTGAACACCTACAGTCTTCTGGGGGCAAAAGGTGGTACAGAAAAACAGTGAACAAAAAGCCATGTTACAGCTATTCTCCTCCAGCAGATGTATGGTTTGCTGTTTTTTTTGTGTAACATCATAGGCTCTCCTCTGTAAAAGGAATATCTACAGGAACTTCCTCCAACGATCACCTAGAAAGCATTTACATTTAAAACACATGAACAAAAGGCAAGCATTTGCATTCAGTGGTGCTGCCCAAAAGCTTGTCCATTTGTATCATAAGAAAATAATAAGTTGGTTCACCTAGAAGTCACAAATCTCCTCTTAAGGATAACTTACACTTTGAAGAAAGTGCATTTCAGTTTAAGGAAAACAAAAATCAACCAATAAACAAAACTATTCAACCAGCAAAATCTATAATAGTTCCTGTAACACCTCACAGCAGGGGAAGTGAGAACTGATCCAAGAGACATCTTCCTTCTCCTGACCCCCAGCCCTCAGAACCTCCTGCTGTACTGGTTCCATAGCACAGAGTAAGAGCAAGAGTTACTTTCTGGAAAACAGAAGCATATTAAATTGTCCCATGAAAGCAGACGAACTTGTTGTGAAAGAAGTCAGCCCTATCTCAAGGCTACTGCAACATACACAACTTTATTGTGGAAATTCTTTCACTTGGTTATTACTTACACATGAATAATTTCTGCTCCATTTTGGTGAGTTTGCCTGCTGCCTCCAATTGGGCATTGTAAAAAATCAGAACAGTAGTAGCTGAACCAATTAAGTTGCTTGGAATACTAGAAGTACAAATATGAATGATCTTCCTTTGTAACAGAAACTATTTTTTTAAGGGAAGTGTAACCATACTCAGGAAAGAGAGAGCCCTTCTTGAAAAGGTACATTGAGGGGCTACATCTAGAAACAGCTGCAACACAGCAGGTAGATTCCATAGAGTTATGCAGCTGAGAATAATTTATCTTATCATTTTGATGACCTGGATCTCTGTGTATCTCACAGCAGCAAGTAAGGCTATTACTAGCTTCTGCTTTTGAACTTGAAACTGACAGCTTTTGGATGCACCTTACTGCCTACAAAGGAAATTCAGCTAGTTCTTCATCTAACACAGCTCAAGAGCAGCATGAAGTTGGGCAGTCTGGGCCTGTAAGCTTTCAGGATTTGTTGGTCTGGACTTCACTAGGTGTGTGTCTGCAGCACCTGCACAACAGACACACAACAAAACGTTCTGGACACCTGTACTCCAGGGTTAACAAAAGTGGGGTGCTGTTTGTTACTGAATGTACTCAACAGTTACCACCAATAGTAAGTGTATCTATAAAAAGGAAAATCATATCTTTGCTTAGGAAGATTCCAGTTCCAGGTGAAATGAGGAGAGCTTTGTCATTACCATCTACCAGTTTTACCAGGGATTAACGATTCAATTCACAGTCAATTCTTGTTTTTAGGTTAGATGAAAGAATTTTATTAACCAAACTTGTAAGAGTGCATTTTTCACTGCCATCATACACCTCCTTAGAGGAAAAGCTTCTCAAGTTAGAATGGTGTTTCTGAGCCTTACGAGGTGCAGTGGGGATCACTAAATCCCACAGATTGAATAAGTAAAATGCATTACTCAAAGAGGAGATCAGGGTTTGCTCTTACAGTTATCACTGGGAGAACTGGGAAGTCAGGTGCATATGAAGGAGATATCTTTTGTTCTCAGGATTGACCACTGCCCTTTCCAGTCATTTTTTTTTACCTTTCCCAAGTCATGGGAATTTGACAGAAATTATGAGGAAAGGTTGAGGAAGGTGGCCCAGCTCAAGGCTGCCAGGGTAAATAGTTTTAGCTAGGAAAACTGGAAACAATGCTTCATGTAAGAACACAGAGTTAGTAATGAAGAAACTCAGGTTTATCAAGTGCAGCTCCATGCACCTGGGGATATTCTCTCTCCAGGTAATTTACCATTGTTATTTCATTTTGCATGTTTATATATTTACCATTATTGCACACGCAAATATTTTGACTGGCAGTGAGATGGCATGACTAGGAGTTTCTGTTTGGGCAATACAGGATTATGAAGAATGCTTATGCTAAGGACTGAGAGGTGCTGACAACACATGATTTTACAGTGCCAGACCTGAGTCAGTCTGTGCACCTTTGTTTTCATGAATATTAAACTGGTTCTCAAACTTTCTTCAAAAAAGAAGATGTATTCTATCCAGGCTTTGCATAACCCAGCTACAGTAGTGCAAATAATTCCAGGTTACTGTAGTATGTTCTTCAACCCAACCCTTAAAATAAGGCTTTTGGTGAGAACGCAGTTACGTAAGGCTGCAACAAGATTCAAAATGATAATTATTATCCAACTTGTCACCTATTTTTAACGTCTAAAATGGAAGGCACTGAAATTCTTAATGATAATATTCGAAGAGTGAAGCACAGCAGTGAATCTACACAATGAAATCTGCTCAGTATTAGGTTAAAAATAAGGTCAGGTTATTATTTGTAACTAGCAATCACTAATAATACACTTGTTAACCCCAGTGAAACAATATCAGGGTCTAAGAATAAATGTTCCTATGCAGTGAATATAACACAGTTCTCCCTTGTCCTTTAGCACATACACAAATAGATTTCAAAAGAAATTTTCCCTCCTCTGCCTCTCTATTCAAAGCAAGTATTTAAAGCAGCAGCCAGGACACTGCACTGCTGAGAACTGGCACTGAGCTGAGTGCCAAGGCAGTAGTTTAGCAAGGCACCTTTAGCAGATTGTGCATTCCTGTTTTGTCATGCAAGACATCTGTGGTATCTTCAAAACAACACTGGTATAATATTAACATGCTTCTAGAAGCCATGGGTACAGTCCTCCTCAGCTGGGTTCAAGCTTCCTACACTACAACACTCTGGCAGTGCTATGAAGAAAACATATATTTACCTGGCAGGAAAGTGGGGGAGGAATAGCTCACATTTTCTTGCTCCAATCCTTTCTGCAGTTGTTATAGTTTAATACTCCAGTTGCTTGAACCAGATGAAGGTCAGTAGGATAGTCACTGTAAGGTAGCATTAACTGAAGAGTAAACATCTGAGAGAGGAAAAAAGAAAAAAAGCATTGGCTACAATGCAGAAAATCTCCCTCATTCACTCAAATAAATAGGCTACAGAATGACTACAGAGGGTAGGTGTTGCCTGTCTTAAGTGTAACTGGAACTTCAGGACAAGAAGAAGAATGACAGGATAAAGGTAAGAGTCCTTTCTGTTGGCTGAACTGCACTGTGTACTTCTTGCCCATTATCACAGCACTTCACAAGGCCACAGTCAGGCACAGGTAAAATATCTCCGAGTTCAAGCTTAACATTCTTAGATCTGCAGGAAGGGTACTCAGTTCTCCTGGATTTATAGGCATTTAATAGAATTGTAGCCTCATTCCAAATAAAACAAACCTCATTACAGAGCTGAAGGCTCCTGACCTACATTAGCTAGGTGCCTTCTTCTGGATTAGTTTCCACATTTTTCCTTAAGTCTGTGCACCAAGATGAGGAGAGAAAACGCATCCTGCATTGGCTCTAGTCCTAATTCAGTTGTCACATTGTGTGAGAGATCTCAGAAACAAGCAGAGCAATCCTCTGCTGTGATGTTGAAACTTGGGAAAAAAACAACACAAGCACCTCTTACAAGTCCTGCATTTTTTGGATTCCTAAAGCCAATCATTTAGAAGCCAAAGACAGTGATTACTCCATAATATCCTGGCACAAGAAGCAAAGATATAGCAATAAAAAGCTTGATTCGCATCTCCATGACTACTGATTGTGTGCATTAATAATGTGTTGTGTTCCTGAGCGCTTAAACATCATTTATAGAAATAAAAGACTCAAGACAAGGAGAGCTTTCCCAAACAGAACACTTGTGATGCGAGTTGTGCTGATCTGAGCGCTGACAGGAGCACCAGAAAGCCTCAAGTCCTCTGGCAGAAACTTAGCACGGCACTTCACAGATGTTTACAGTATTGGTTTAAAAGGAAGGAATTTAAGCATGTCCCCAAGTATCTACTGAACTTGACTCTAAATGCTTTCATCATGTTCGGCAGGTTACTTAACTGCTGTCCCCTCAACGGGGCTGAAATAATGTCTTTGTCTACCTGGCAACAGTGGCAAAGTGTCTGTCCTGGCAGCGGCAGTATTTGCAAAGTGCCCTAAAGATTTTCACACCTTACGAGGATGTGCAGCATCTTCAGAGCTGAGGAAGAGCCCGGCTGTGTGCCCAAGGGCACTGCGAGGTGCACTCATCAGCAGTGGATGCAGCGTTAGACGTGGAACACTGCAAAGTGTCCAACTCCCCAGAACTACTTCAGCTCCGCTAACTATTACAGATGTAGTATTTGTGAATGAGCAACCCTGCCCTCGGTCTTTTGACTACAAAGTATCTGTGTTTACTGATTACTGCCCTTCACAGAAACCATTTAATGGAAGTCTTAAATGTAAGGGCAGTATTAGTATGTCAGGGATTTGTCATGCCCTATCTGGACTCTGGAGTGAGTCAAACATAAAGAACTTACATTTGCTCATGCTGACGTAACAAATATCTGACAAATAGCTTTTTGTCTAGTTCTCATCTTTTGCAATCATTCTGCTAAGGATCGCAAAGCTTATCAAACTGAAGGGGACCAAGGAGACAAAGAACACACTGTATTTTGTCTTGGGAAGAGGCTGATGTCTGAACACAAGATGTGTATTTCTGGCCTAATTTGATCAGGGAAGTCCATTTGCCCCCAGAGGCAGATGACTTCTACAGTGAAGCATCAACTTCTACACTCTTTGCTGAAAAAAAACACAAACAAAAGCCAACAAAACCTACACACATGAACCCAGGAAGTTAACTCTAGATTATAATCCAGAGATACCACCTTTAGATAACGTAGCATAATATTCTAACTCTGCATTTAGCACTGAAACACCATAGCAACAGACACTTCAGATACGCATTGGCACATAATTTAGATCTAGTAAAATATTCACATAGAGATAAATATGAAGAGATCTAATTTACACGTTGCTTACTCTGTAATGGCCAATCAAAATGATGTTCATTTAGCTGTGTGACGCCTTGCAATATAATTCTGCATAGTTTAAACACTGACTGATGTCTTATACTGTGAAGGAAATGCGGGAGTCACTGCAGTAATTGACAGAACAATTGCAATTGCTAACGTACACGGGAGTGAATTTGAGATTCATTTCAGGCTGTTACAGCATTAGCTTGCACTAATATAGACGGTTTTGTTAAAAAACAAAGTTGGACACTATCAGTCTGATGTGTGTAAGCACAGGCACAGCCAGCTTCAGTAGTAAGCCTTCCTAAAAAATGCCATATGACAACTCGTCAGTGACTCAGGAGCCAGGACTGCACATGGCAGTGAGGACAATCCTTGAGTCATCACAGCAGCCACACCCAGCAGATCTCCTTAGCTACAAACCACACACACACAGCAGCCTGGCACAAATACTAAATACGAGGATTATTCCGACCAGTTTACAGTTTAATCTTGCCGTGTACCTGAAGGACTGCCAAACCCCCAGCTTATGCAATGCAGCAGGCTTTCTTTCATTATTCCCCTTTCCTTTGAAGGTTCTGATAGCTATCTGGGAGAGAAGAGAGAAGCAACCACAATTCATTGAGCTATTGATTATGACTCTCAGAAGGCGGAATAGATCTGACTTCTGATCCGAACGCAGCTTATAGGCTATCTGAGACAACATGAGGATAAAGAATAGAGCTAGTTGTTTTAGATGGAACTCCAATTTTTTCCCTTCTATGTGAGCACCCAGATAACTGGATCCTAAATATTGCTGTGCCAAGTCCTGAATTCTCTTCTAGTCAATGGCACAGCTTCAGCTGCAAGCAGGGAATGATGAATTCCCTACATCCTCAAGCAGTGCTTAGTTGAGCTAAGAGCTATGACTGCCTTTTCAAACAAGAAAGGAACCTTTTCATAGCAGAGCACTCTAACACTAGGCTCCTGTGAACCTACGGCAGATTTGGGAGCCACCACTTTTGCTTTAGAGACAGCAGCAATCACTGTTGGAATCTGTAAGGAGCACTGCCCAGCACACATTACGTGTGTTTTCTCTGCACATATCAGATAAAACATCACAGGACTTCAGTTGCAGTTTCATAAGCAAGTAAGTTAAGATTTTCCTGCTGCTGAGAAGGCTTTATTTCTCCTCCTCAGCTTTTCTGATCACTCACTTTTGCTGGCAACAGAAGTGGCACACTGCAGAACTGTGACCAGCAACAGCCCCAGGTGGCTGCCCACCAGCTGGGAATTCCTTGCTCTGAATCACCTCTGCAAGGTGCTGAAGCACTTATTTCTCTTGAGGCTAAGGCACAGAGTACTAAAATTGTTGGTTTGGATTTTTTTCTGAATATTGTGGAAAGTAAATTAAAAGAGCAGCAGTAATTAATGTTTTTTTTTAGTCAGAGCATAACTAACATTGATATCAGAAAGAATTCAGAATCTGGGTTTCACCAGGAATACCACTATCTCTATGAAAACAAAAGCTAAATATGGTCTTTAAACATCTTACTATGCCAGAACAATTACTAGAGAAAATAAACTTTAACTTAGTTAAACAAGAGACAATGTTATTGCCTTATCTCCTTTCCATTTGTGTTCAAGATTATTTGGGAGGTACTGAAGAAGCAGTGCCACAAAACAAATTCTTGCAATTTTTCAATGAACAACACTTTTCCTTCTAGTTTTAAGGCACAGAACTACAGGCATTTGAGGATGAGCAAACCCATGGAAAGGACACCGAGGAAAAAAACTGAAAGAAAGGCATGCAAAAAAAATAATGCACATCTTATAGGGAGAGTGTGACGTGAAGGAACCGAGACTGATGAGTGAGAACAAACATTCTTTCCCCTTTGCTCACTATTTTGTTTCTTTGCTTCAACTGCAGGCAAAGGATTTAACCCTTTCCACTCCCTGTCAAGAGACAACTGATCCCTACTAACCAGAAAGCCTTTGGTGAGTGGGTAACTCCGAAAGAGCAAATGTCCAAATTCTGATCCACTTTACTGATTTTATTTTTTTTAACTGGTCACTTCACACGCTTTGTTAGTTACTGTAGGGAAATGCACATGACTAGCACCTCTGTCATTTAAGATGAAGATCACTAAAATACATATTCTGCTACAGACCACACATTTACATTCCTTTTGCTTCTTTTTCACCACGTTATTTTTATTTCTTACTGGTACCTTTACAAAGCAGGTGCTCGCCCGCACCGAGGCCCACCAGCTCCCCGCACACTGCTGGCAGCGCACACTGCTCTCAGCCCCTCACCCCAGAGGTTTGCAATAACCACGCTCTGAGCTACGAGTGCACGGACAGCAGCAGGCCGCGCACAATTACAAGCATTCCTCTCCCTCTACAAGACCTCAGGAAGCCAGGCACGCCGCCCGGGCTACGCTCCCAGAGGAGGGCAGCTCTATACCCCGCTCCCCCACAGCTCTCCCACCTCCTCAGGGCCGCGGGCGGAGCCGAAGCCCCGCAGAGCTGCCCACAGCCGCACCCTGGACGGGCGGGAAAACCTCCTGACCCCCGGCTCCTCCCGCGCACGCGCGATAACCCCCTCACAGTGCGCAAGCCCCGAGCCCCCCAGCTATTATGCGCCGCGCGGAGTTGCGCATGCGGAGCCTCGAGTGCCGTCGGGCCAGTTGGGCCGGTCCTGCCCATAGTGCGCAGACGCGGTACCTCACCGCTACTGCGCACGCGTCGTCACCTCCCATGGCGGCTCCCTCCCCTCCCCGTAGTGTAGTTGGGGCCGTGACGTCAGCGGTGGCGGCCATTACACGGGCAGTGCGAGCGAGAGAGCGGCAGAGCTGCCGTGGGTAGGGCGCCGTTTCGCCCGCCGCTCCCGTAACTTCTGCTGTGCTGCATCTGCCGGCAGCGCGTTGTTGGGGCCTCCGGGAGGAGCGGCGGCAGCTGGTGAGGAGGAGGAGGAGGCGGAGGAGGAGGAGGGGGCGGCGGTGAGCGAGCGGGTGCGTGCGGGATGGAGGAGAAGGTGTTCACCAAGGAGCTCGACCAGTGGGTGGAGCAGCTCAACGAGTGCAAGCAGCTGTCCGAGGGGCAGGTGAAGAGCCTCTGTGAGAAGGTGAGCGGCGGAGCGGGGGGGAGGGCGGCGTGCGGCCGCGGGGACGGCGGTGCGGGGCGGGGGCGGCTCCTCCTGGCCGGGCGGGCGCGAAGAGGGCTGCGAACAGAACGGCGGAGCGGTGCCGGAGCCGCGGGGCGGCTTCGGTGGGCTCTGCTCGGTTCCGCTCGGCGCCGCCCGCGCGGCCCGGTGATGCCTCAGCCGCGGCCCCTCGGCGGGCAGCGCCGCGGCCTGGCCCCGCCTCCCACCTTTTCATCGCCTCCTAAAATGGCGCCGCTGCCGGGATCCGCGGCTCGAGACCCCCGTACGCCGCCGGGCCCGGCGCTGCCCTGCGGGGATGGCTCAGGGCGGGCTGTGTGTCACGGGGGGAGCGCGACGTGAGATCAGAGCGGGGCTCCGTGCTGCCGTGAGCCCGGCAGCTTTTTTTTTTTTTTCTTCTGCTTTTAAATATAAGAGCACGCTTAGTTATGATTGAGATGGAAGGTTAGGTTGACTTTGGGAGTCGTTTGTTCAGAATAAAATGGCGCTCAGTGAAATGAAGCTCGTGTCGCTGTTGATTTCTGTGGTGACTGATGGGGAATGCTGGGATCTGCAGACCGGAGTGCTGTGCTGTGTTTGTTATACAGGAAGGTCTTAAAACCAGCCTCAGACAGACCGTGCTCTGAAATGAAAGGGAATAAGAGCTGTAGGGATACCTTGGTTGTATTGTCCGGTCACGCTCCAATGAATTGAATGAAATCTTCACCTTTCGAGGTTTATTATTTTTTCCTGGAGGTTTTATTTTCATCCATCCTTCGATTGAAGGAATTGCCTTTTTTGGGGGACCTGGAAATCAATGCGTATGGAAGTTACCGACGTACACGGTTCTAAAGAAGGCTGCATGCCTACTGCAGGAAGAAATGAGGGTATTTTAAGTTTGGCACTATGCCTTCAAATACTACAGCATGTTAGTTTAGAAGCAAACTGTTTCCATAGGACTTAGAATTAACTTGCAGGGCTTTTGGCCAGATGTGTTCTTGTTGTGTCCAAATTTCAGTTGACTGACATTCCAGCAACTTGAAATCATAACCATTAGATATGGTTTGTGTATTTAAAATTGTATTTAAAACTGCGTTGCAAGCAAGTAGCAGTTTAGGGATTGTTTTCCATGTGTGTCTCCAGTGACAGCAGTCCGGCTTCTTCCTTGTGTCCTGTTTGCCATTATTGATACGCTGATTCAAGGTCTGAATCCTGGGTGGGTATTTCTAGTGAGGCTGTATGGTAATCTATAAGAACCCAAGGAATAAATTAAATGCTTTTCATTTACTGCATGTTCTGGATAGGTGAGGAGTAGGCATACCAATAGAAACTGTACAAAAGGCACTATAGTCATGTTCATAATTTGTGTGAGAATGGAGGTGTTTTCATTTTTTTCTAATGAAGAATTGAAATAGACTTTATTTCTGGATGAGTGTGTAGTGTTCATCGCCAAAATAGATTCTTGACACTAGGAAAGAAAAAATTGTCTTCACCTGAAATTGTCTTCATGCTTCTGACAGGTTTTTAAGGCAAGGAATCACGAGGCAGGTGGGAGTAGCGAACTCTTCTGGTGAGGCTGAAGGAATCATAAGTGATGAGTTGTGGGAATTGTTTTGGTTAAGGCGTTGGAATTAGGTTACAGAAAGCTGTCTGTCCAACTGCTGTATTCTGAGATGAAAGTCTGCAAAAATAGGAGAGAGAGTGATGTGAAAATACCACTGAGCAGCAGCCACTCTTTGCCACAAGTTGGGTGTTGGAACCAGCTCCAGACCAAAGGTGGCATCTCTTTGGGTAGCGTGACACTGTGCTTGAGATAAAGCTCTCTCTCTCTTACTGGGCTGCGGTTAGTACTTTGTGAGGTACATCCAGGCTGTTTGTGTTACAGAAGAATGATAACTATTGGTGGATTTACCAGGGCTTCCTGCTAGTGGTAGGTGAGGTGCTGTGATTGCCAGTGCAAGCAATTGGAAGCTGTCCTCAGAGGCCCAAGCTTTCCATCATCCTTCCGTCCCCTCTGGTGGGTTGCTGTGTTCCCAGAAGCAGGGCATTAGCTGAATTCTGTATGTCTGCTAAGGGTCCTCATTTATCCTGTTTCCAGGCTTCCAGCACCAGCTCTCAGCAGTACTGAATTATGCATCATGTTTTCGTTATTGTCAGTAGTTGCATGAATGCAATCACACCCAAAGGTTATGTTTTTCCATAAAGAACTTACATGTTAAGGATGGTGTCAGGTCCAGTTACTGTTCCGAATGACGGGTGAAGACCCTATCAGACAGAAGCTGTCATTCCTCAGTGCACTGAGCTGTAGCTAGGATAGGGAAAAGTAATCATTCTTGTGAGAGCTTTTCCCTATAACACACAGTTTATTAGGTGATCTTCCTGACTGGTATTTCTGGATCTTTTGAGGCTTTGTGTGTGAAGACTGGTGCCTGTCGAGTAAGGTGAAGCCTGAGGGCTCTGTTATGTTTCAGTATTGATACCAAAAGAACATAACAGCTATTTGCAAACACCATGTCAGCACAGTATCTAAATGCCATTCATGCATTGCAGTTACTCTCTTGGTGCATCCTGTGTTGTGCCTCATTCCCTCGGTGGTGGTAACTGGTAGAAATGTCTTCCAGAGCTAGGAATAATTTGTAGTCATAAACAATATCTGCTTTCATAGACTTGAAACAAGTCTAACTGACAATTAAATTATTCTAATGTTAATATTTTCTATTAATTTTGCTACAGCAGTGACAGATTTTTATGTGCTTTAAGTATTCCTTAAGTGTTAGCTTTGAAGGACTGTTACAAATATGTGCCTGACTCAAGTATGGCATTTATTGGCCACATTTGCCCTGCTGAGGCTGAATTGTGCACTGGCTGCTGTCTGTGTACAGAGGAGAAAGGAAGTCCTTTGTGGCCAGGTGAGGTTTTTTTCCGCTGCCCACTTACAACAAGGCTGCAGTTCTTTTCCATCCTTTGTGGGAAGTGGTCTCGGTGGGACTGTTCTGATGCACAGCTCAGGAAAGGTGGGATGGCAGTCCAGAATGGAATGCAGAAGTGAGCTGAATTTGTGGATGCCATCCCCATGGGTTATTTCAGAATCTATCTCTGAGTGGAGGAGATGTCTGGGAGCCTCTCGCTGGGAAGAGCTGGGCTGTGAGTGGCTTTGAACATAGCCCCCAGTTTCTTGAAGCAGGCAAGCTGGTTGTATGCTGTGGTGCATTGTCAGGGCTCTCACTGTGTACTTCACATGTGTTTTACTGGTAAGTGCATGGATGGTGGTGCTATCTAAAAATTTCTTAATTGAATGGAGTTCTGATATCACTAAGCCCTTTTCTAGGAGCCTGGATTGAAACCTTGTCTCTGTAGCTTTTGATCTGTAACAAAGTTTGTGATCACACTTGCTATTTGGTCTGTCACCACTGCTAACTTTCCTAGTAGAAGAGTTTCTGGGCTGTGCTGATTTCTGGTACACTGGCTTGTCAGAGGTGGCTTTTTTTTCCTTCTGTCATCCGCCACCTTTAACACCAGGTCTTCCATTAGATTTTCTGAGTCTAATTGCCAATGAGAACAAGCCAAACATGCGTACCAACTGCAGCTGTACCAACTGCTCCAACTCCTTCAGCTTTCTTTAAGCACTGTGGTTCTAGGAGGGCAGTGTGTTACTGATGCAGCTCATTTTTGGGTCAAAAGCAAAACCTATGGTCAAAGTTCACTTCTTGCGTAGCACAGGATGAGCAAGTTTTGTGAAGCATGCTGTTTCAAGCTGTTACTGCCCTGACATCTCTGCCCCAGTTCTTCAGAGGCCCTGTTCCTTTGTCTCTGCTGTATTAGCTTTGTGCAGGACATGTTGTGCGTCCCTGCACTTCTGACAGAAGAAGGGAGAAGACAGTGGAAGGCACAGTGTTTCATGTCTTATTTGCTACCACATTGGCTTATGGAGTCACTAGAAAAGAAACTGCTGTGGGCAGGAGGGCCCTCTTCAGTTGTTTCAATGGGGACGGGAGGACAGGAGAAGGCTGGAGACTCCTTTGTTACTGCCTATTGAATTTACTTGGGGATTGAGCTGTTAATGCTTCAATCTCTGGAGAATTACAGGGTGAGAAGGTTTTTGTGACATTTTAATGACTGCTTTAGGTTATTGTGGAATGCTTTCACAAAGAAAGACGCTTTCACTCCCAGTGTTCTTACGATAGCGTTAATATAAAATGGAAAGTGTGCCCTTGCACAGAAGACATTTGAAGTGTCAGCCTTGCCAGCCTTCTCACCTAGTGCTGATTACAACACTTTGGTTATGTGTATGAGAAATCTGTCTTCTGCGCATCGCTTCTTGTAGTGCTAACAGCTTTCTCTTTGGTATTCTGTGAAATTGAGTTGTGCTGCTGTTAGTGCTTCTTTCTTTTAATTAGTTTTTACTCGCCACATTCATTGTAATCAGATGGAGTGAA